TTTCCCAGTTCATGTTTTAAGAGACTCTCCTCAACCCCGAATTCCATAAGTACTGAACTCTGAACCCCAGATCCTCTGGCCAGCACTTCCCTAGAGATGGGATTGCAGACCTGAGAACCAAGAAGTTGGGGGCAGGGTGTATGGGGCCTTGGGTGCATTCTTCAGCTGAGTTACAACACCAATCTGCACTGCCTCAGTGTTTCCAAAGCAGCGCTTTTTCCATCCGCGGGTCTCAGGTCAAATATTAACTCCTGCAGGGATGGTGGCAACACCTTTGTGCATAGGGATTGGAGCTAGCTTGGGCACTATGGTGAGGCCTGTCTCGTAACAAAAACAAAAAGTTAGGTGGCCTCTGAGTCTACCCTTCCTGAAGAAGACACATGCCTCCTAGCTCAAAGCTCCACCATAGATAGATCTCTGCTTTCACTCTCGCACTTCTTTGAGACAATATCTCGCTTTGTAGCCCAGGATAGCCTTCGATTTCCGAGGCAGCTCAGATTGACCACACACTCCAGGCACTCCTCCTGCCTCAGCCTTCCAAGTGCTGGGATTTCAGAAACACACCATGCCCTGTTTCGTTCGTTCTCCTTCTTGACTCCCAGTCAAGTTTCCTTTTTCTGTGTCTCTATTCTCCATTCCTGTATAAAATGTAATTCCAACCAGACCAGACCTGTATCTTCTCACTCACATGTTTATTCGCGATGTCCAGGGCAATGACTAGCATGTTCTACAGCCTCTTGTTGAATGAAGAAATAATGTAATAATGTAAGGGAGCCCACCCCTCCTGCCACAGCTGACCAGATGCTATCACTAAAGGTGCACCACATTTTCTGCAAGATTAAGAAGGTTGGTGCTAGCTGGGTGGTGGTAGCACATGCCTTTAATTCCAGCACTAGCAAGGCAGACACAGGTGGATCTCTGTGAGTTCGAGGACAGCCTGAAACAGCTAGTTTCAGGACAGCGAGGGCTGTTACACAGAGAAAACTTGTCTTGAGAAACAAACAAACAAACAAACAAAAACAAAAAGCAGAAGGTTAGTGCTAGAGAGATGGCTCAGTAGTTAAGAGCACTCGTTGCTCTTCAGAGCACCCAAGTTCAATTCCCAGCACCCACAAGGTGGTTTACAACAACCTGTAACTCTAGTTTCAGAGGATCTAATGCCCTCGGCTCCTGACATCAAGGACACCAAAGCGCGCGCGCGCGCACACACACACACACACACACACACACACACACACACACACACGCCAGTGATATACATAAAATAAAATGAATAAATAAAAAGAGAAGGGTGGGTTGCTGGATGTGTTGGCACACACCTTTAATCACAGCACTGGAGAGGAATAGGCAAGTGATCTCTATGAGCTGGAGGCCACCCTGCTACACACTGTTTGAGTTTCAGAACCACCAGACCTGTATACTGAGACTCTGTCTCAAAAAGAAGGGTGTGCTGGTCATTTGTCCTGAGTTAGAGACTTTGGGGTTCTGGGTGGCTGGACTCAGGTAGAAGGTGGGCTGTATTAGGTCACACAGCTAGCTAGGGAATAGTAAAACCTCACCAAGTTCATGTAAGTGAACTTTTAAGATGATTTACTTCCTCTTCGACCTTGTCGTCCTTTTTACTTTTCTATTGATGTGATGAGCCAGCATAACCAAGGCAGTTTAAAAGGGGGCTTACGGTTTCAGAGGGCTAGAGTCCATGGCCATCTTGGCGGCAAGCATGGCAGCAGGCAGGCAGCGTGACTCTGGAGCAGCAGCTGGGACACAGTTGCTTGAGACACATCTAGAGACACAGCCATGAGGTGGAGAAAGAGACCCGGAACTTCTTTTGAAACCTCAAAGCCCTTCCAATGAGTGGCACACCTCCTCCAGCAAGGCCACACCTCTGAATCAACTGTTCCACCAGCTAGGGACCAGCTATTAAAACAAATGAGCCGGGGGGGGGGCATTGTCATCTAAGTAACCACATTAATGAATCCCCTTAAATAAAAAGAACCAGCGGTGATGATGCAAACCTTTAATCCCAACACAAGATTTAATCCCAGGCAGAGGCAGGCAGATCTCTGAGTTCGAGGCTAGCTTGGTCGACAGAGTGTTTGTTCCAGGACAGCCGGGGGTGGGAGTGGGGGAGTAGAACGGGTGGGGACAACATGATGACAACAGGGGACTCATCTGTGAAAGGGCTTGCCTTATAGCCCTGGCAATCTGAGTTTCATTCCAGGAGCCACGTAAAGGAAAAAGAGAACCAATGCCACAGAATTGTCCTCTGAGCTCCTCAATGGCATTTAGAATGTGCTACACACACACACACACCCACACACACACACACACAATAACCTAAGTTCTAGCAACAAGGCTCCCAACAGTGCCCATCCTAGAAGTAGGGGTGAGGCCACAAGCACCCACACACTCACATTCATGTGTTGCTGAACGGTGGTCAAGGGCAACTATCGCAGCTGGTCAATGGGAAACAGACAACCGGAAGGCAGTGGAACCTGGCCTTAGGGGCTAAAACCAATTCCGCGGGATATAATCCTTCCTGTGCTGTCTGTTGAGAGCCTGGTTGGCTGTGAGCCTGACATTCTGAGAACTGGGTTTCGGAGAAGTCATGAAACCACTCACGGCAGGCGGATCCTTCTTTCCAGATTCCTTGTCCACCTACCTGCCAGGAGCGCTGGTCAAAAGCTTCAGACGCATGGTGTCTCTTGCGCCACCGCGCGGTTATCTGAGGTATCGCATGCTTCTAACTCCAAAGCCCCGCAGCAGGGGAGCAAGTTTAGAAGGATGGGGCGCTCTTGCCTGGATCTCATTCTTGCCTAGAAGGTGCCTAAGCGGGGTGGCCTGGCCTGCCTGGACCTCTCGGTTTCAGCAGTCCGAGTTCCCTCAGTTAGATAAAACCTCATCCTTGGTTCCATGCAGAAAAGAATTCAAGAAGAGGAGCCGATATGAAGCAGAATTTATGTTTATTAAAAAGCATTAAATATAGAAAAGAAGGCTCTGGGGAGTAAAGTCTAAAACTTGTGGTGTGGGTTTCTCCCTGAGTCTGACTTCATTCTCTTTAAAATGGCGCTTTCTCCCAAGCTGGTGGGTTTTGAAGCCGATGGCTTAGAAGGCTGGGACTTTGGATGGGAGATTACCGAAGCTTACAGGGCAGGATTCCAACTGATAGGAAAGTCGTGCATTCCACGGATGCAAGAAGGCAGGGAAGCATCCCTGTAAGCAAAACCAGCTGTTTCTTTTGTAAAAGATTTCTTTTCATTTTATGAAAAAGAATTCAGGCTGGTGTGATGGCCCATGCCTGTAACCCCAGCACTTAAGAGGCAGAGGCAGGTGGGTTTCTGAGTTTGAGGTCATTCTACTCTATTGAAACCCCATCTCAAAACAAACAACAAACAAGCAAACAAAAACTCAAAGAAACAAAGGGTCTGGATGTAAGGATTCAGGCACTGTGCTGGCCTGCTCCTGACACCTGGGAGAATGCACTCAGGCAGTACCCTGGTCAGCCCAGGGTTCCAAGGTTGCTTGTCTGCACGCAGGTGCAAAGGACCCCTTTAAAAGACAGACCCCGCCCATTTATGCTCTTCTCTCTCTCTCTCCTGCTGTTCTCCTGGGGCAGACAGGACTTTTCCTGTCTCCTCTCCTCTCCTCCCCTCTCCCTCCCCTCCCCTCCTCTTCTCTCCCCTCCTCTCCTCCCTTCCCCCTCCTCTCCCTTCCCTAATCCCTCCTCTCCCTGTCTCTTTCATACCCCCTTCCCCCCCCCCCCGTTTCTAATAAAACTTCTCACTAAGCTCTGTTTGTCCCTCAGCCTCAGTCACCCTCTCCTGCCATGGAACCTGCAAGACTCCCCACGAGCTTTATCGTAACACTGGAGACATGGCTCTTTTGAGAGCACTTACTGCTATCCAAAGGACCTGAGTTCAGTTCCCAGAGCCCATGCTGGTTGACTCACAACTAACTCCAGCTCCTAAGAAATCTGATGCCTCCAAGGGAACCTACAATCATGTGAACACTGCCCCCATAGCTAAAAATAATGAAGTATATCTTAGAAAGAATACGAGATTGAAATTTTGAAGGCTTGAGAGATGGCTAAGGCGTTAAGTGCACTTCCTGCTCTTCGAGAGCACCCGCTGGTGTCTCACAACTGTAACTCCAGGGATAGGAGATGCGAGGTTCTGTACTGGCCCACTTAGTACACATAAACTCATGCAGGCAAACACACGCATAAATAAGTCTTATTAAAAATATTTTAATTTTTAAATATAGTTCACTTGTATGCATAGGTGTTTTGCCTGCAAATGGATCTGTGCACCACGTGCTTGCAGTGCCCTCTGAAGTCAGAAGAGGGCGCTGTACCAACTGAGCGACATTCCCAGCCCAGACTGAAGATCCTAACAGGACACTGAAGAGCTGTTCTAAAGGACAAAATGAAGTTAGATGCAGAGATTAAATGTGTACACCATAAGTCATGTGTCTGCCTGCTCCTTAGTCAGCTGCCTTGATTCAGAAATATCTACACATAAAAACATTCTGGCTGGGGCATTGGTGGCACACGTCTTTAATCCCAGCACTACGGAGGCAGAGGCAGGCGGATCTCTGTGAGTTCGAGGCCAGCCTGATCTACAGAGCGAGTTCCAGGACAGCCTCCAAAACAATACAGAGAAACCCTGTCTCGGGAAAAAAAAAAAGCATTCTGTACTTTTATTTTTCTCGTTCATTTACCTCTTGGGCTAACTCCAGCTAATGATATTAATAATAGACTTAAGTGGTCAAAAAATAACACGTGATTTTAAGAAAACGACTTTTGCAAATTACTGTCTTTTTGGTGTATTGTAAATTCTGATGGCGACAAACCTTTTTGGCACAGCAATTACTCACTAGTCCTGTGGAGAGGGCAGGGTCCTGAGGAACCTGATGCATGAAGTCCCACAATTACCTCACTGACAGACTTTTAGGAGCATGCCTAAAAGGATCATGTGTAAAGAAAGATGCAACAACATGCATTATTTCAAAATGTGTATTTAAGGTCATTCCACCAAAATTAAGCAAAATTACACTTAGAAAGCATTAATGCAGCTATCTTTATCTTTTAAGGTACATTTTCATCTGGGCTTCATTTGGTCTCTGCTGCTTGAGATGTTCATACAGGTATCATTCACACAGAACACTGAAGCTGGTGGCTTCTCATGAACTGGGAGACGGGATCCTAACAAAGCCATGTATCTTAGATACATTAGAAATTCTAAAAACCCTATGGAATTTCAAAAACCTTAATACCAGTCATGGAGATGCATTGTCAACATAAACCTGAGGCACTCTGCACTTTGGAATAGCCACAAAAATATTACAGCAAGAGTTAATGCACTTTGTGATTACATCTACTCAAAGGGAGTCTCAGTTAAAATCCTCACTGATTAAATACCATTTTACATTAGGGCCCATTAAGTCCAGGTGATTATTGAATAATTTGCAGCATGAGTTATAGTTAAACAAAGCTGGAATACAGTCAATGCTGACCCTGTGATCACCTTTCAGGGTGGGCTTCTTTGTTTTCAACAGAAGATCCTACAGAACTCAGTGACTAGCATCCCCTCCCAGCCCATATCCCTCTAGGAGTCCTCTCCGGCTTCTGCTACAGTAGCTTTCTTAGCTGCAGAGCTGCAGCCAATAGGAGGAGGAGGAGACTGGGAAACCCAAGCTGAGCGCTGATTCCCAGGTCACTGATCCTTTTCTATGTTCAAATGCTGCACATTGACTTGGGGCTGAGCTACTGTGCAGGCTGGTGTGGAGGTAAGGGAAAGCAAACCGAACTTGTCACTCACTTTGAGTCAGGCCGAGGATGCCCAGACTTGCTCATCTCTCCAGTGTGGTCTACGGGTGGGAGGGGGATGGGTGACCCCACCTGCTAAGATGCCCATCACTCCGTGTAGCTTTCCAGCAATGTGAGCTAGCGTGGCGAGGATTCAGGACTACTTGCTTCTGTGGGGATCAAGGCACACTTGATGAGCAGTGTGCACGTGTGAAACTCAGAAACAAACCTTTTCAGAATGCTGAGTAGACTACAGAATCTACAAATGGACTCCTCAAAATCACCAATGACAACAGATGTAGCTAGAGGCAGGGAGTGGAGATCGACTTGACTGTGAGACACACGGAAGAGACTGCAGTAATTCCCAGCAGCAGAGTATGAACAGTTCATTGTGGGGAAGTTAATTGCACTGCTAATGTTTTCTGCCTTATTTGAAGAGACAAATTAGCATAAGTAAATCACGAGTTAAGATGACAAGCTAAACCTTTGCTTCCACTCATTAGATGAAACCGAGGGAGCTTGCAGTTAAGCCTCTGTGGGAAGGATGTGGGAGGGATGAGGGCAGGAAGCAGAGGCTGCAGCTCCAGTCTCTGTAAACAGAATCGGAGCAGTGACGATGCTGACTTTTAGCTGAGGCAACTTTTCATCCCAACTGGAAGCCACAGAATTGTGTATTTCCGTACGTCATGACCAGGATCAGTGCTCACGGCAGCACAGTCAAGGCTACAGTCCCTGTCTGCTGCTTCAGAATGGCGACGGCTTGCTCATGAGTAACACCTTCCAGGGGCTCGCCATTGACAGCTAAGATCTGGTCACCTCGTTTTAATCGGCCGTCCTCAGCAGCTGCTCCCTGTGAGCAGGAAACAAAACAAAATTACTAGGAATATTGCATGAAATTATCTACACACACACACACACACACACACACACACACACACACACACGTATATATGACGCTCCAGTGAATTTCCTTCCATATATATAAATACTCTATAATCTGAGTAAAACAACCCAAACCCAAAACAGAGCTGATCTGAAGAGTTCAGATCTGGTACATTCCGTCTGTACGCTCATCATGTTCAAACTCATGTTGCAGACTGCCAGGGCTTCCAAGCACTGCCCCTAAATTTTCTGAGTTAGTCTGAATCATCATCATCTATCTTCCTTTCCCTCCCTCCCTCCCTCCCTCCCTCCCTCCCTCCCTCCCTCCCTCCCTCCCTCCCTCCCTCCCTCCCTCCCTCCCTCCCTCCCTCCCCCTCTCTCTCTCTCTCTCTTTTCTACAGGGTTCACCATGTAACTCTGCTGGCCTAGAACTCACTATGTAGCCCAGGCCAGCCCCGGAGTCACAGCGATCACCTGTCTCTACCTTCTGAGAAGGCCTATCTATTTTTTGTTGGCTGCTGAGATGACTAAGACTTCAGGTGGCTCTGACTTTAAGGTTTCTTTAAAAAACTACGTGCCTGTGTGTAGGTATGTGCACATGAGAGCAGGTGCCTGAGGGAGGCCAGAGACCAGATCACTCAACTCCCCGGCAGCTGCAGCTCCAGGCAGTCATGAGCCGCCTGATTTGGGGACTTGGGTGCCGGGAGCCGGACTCTACAAGATCAGCACACACTCTTAACTCCTGAGCCATCTTTCCAGCTCATGAACTTGAAGTTTTCAAGAAAGCATACACCTGACTGGCAGTACCCTACGAGCCTGCTGGTGGGATGGACTCTCTGATGTAGACAGGTCACATTCCTGGAGCGGTGAAGAGTCACTAGGGGCTACATTAAATAGCCTTTTATTCAAGGAAACGGAAATTTTGATGTATAAACCTACACCCTATGTTTCACAGCTCCAGAAGCCTGAGAAGGGAGCGTGTGAGGGAAAGAATGTCCCACGTGAAGGCAGCATGGGTTCTGCGCTCTGTGTGGGAAAAACAAGGTCAGGGTCATCTTAGAAAAGCTTTATGGGGGCGGGGATCTGTCAGCTTTAGGTGTACTGAGTCTCTATTTTATTTTATAATTTGGATGTCCCGGCCAAATTTAACAAGCAAAATGAGAAAGAGAAAGATTCGGTTATCTCCAGTGCTATAGGGCCAGAAATAATGGTTGTTGTTATTAGCTGCATTGGAATATGCTTTCAGAATATTTTCACATTGTGTGTGTGTCGCAGTGCATGTGTGAAGGTCAGAGAGCAACTTTTGGGAATCAGTCCTCTCTTTCACCACGTTGGTTCTGGGGGTCAAACACAAGCCATCAGGGTTGCAGGAAAGTGAGCCATCTTGACAGCCCCATGGAAAGTCTTCTACCAAGACTAACTACACTAAGTGGGCTATGAGCCAGGGCTTAGACATTTCTTCTTTTAGATTCAGAAACTTTAATTTTTAGGTAGATTTCACTTTTTAAAAAGTAACATTCCAGCCAGGTGGTGGTGGTGGTTACATGCCTTTAATCCCAGCACTTGGGAGGCAGAGAGGCAGGGGGATCCACAGAGCTAGTTCTAGGACAGCCAGGGCTACACAGAGAAACCCTGTCTTGAAAAGCAAAGCAAAGCAAAATGGCACATTCCTTAAAAAATAAAAACATTACAAACAAACAAAACCAAAAACCAAGCTAGGTGTGGTGACTCATGCCTACAATCCAGGTACTGGGGATGGGGCGTTGAGTGGGGGATCAAGGCCATCCTTGGCTACACAGTGAGTTCAAGGCCAGCCTGAGCTACACGAACTCCTACCTCAAAAGTGAAACAACTCCCCCAAGCAAACACAAAAGAAAGGACAGCCAATAGTCACCTCCAGCATGCTATTCTCACTTGCGGGCTTCCATGGGAGGCCTTTCCAGGGGAAGTTGAAGGGGCTTCCCTCAGCACTTTAGGACACTCTCCCCTCCCACTGGGGTCATCCCGCTCTGGCCGATGATGGTTTGTTTCTTTGTTGGTTTTTAGTTTTTCCATTTATTTATTTAGTTTTAGACAAAACTAGCCTCAAACGTTAAGCCACTCTCCCAGGCCGCGGTCTTCCAAATGCTGGGATAACAGACACATGCCAGCAAGCCTGGAGATGGGTGCTTTTAAACGCACCAATATTACATATCGGTGTCACTTTCAGCTATGTGTTCTGATGACGCCCCCCAACCACACTGTTTCTAACAGCGCCCCTTGAGAACAATGGTCACAACTACTTGAAGTGTTCCACATGTCTTTAGAGGATAGAGTGTATATATCCACCTCAGGCTGGGTACCACCGATGCACTGTGAAGCTGCCTGTGATTAGCTCCCTCCCCTCTGATTAGCTGCAGTTCATTAGATAAATGATTCCCACTCTGTCTAGTGTGCCATAACCACACTCTACCAAGAGGGACAGATGTGGCTGTCTAGTGTCATCCAAAAGCAAATGCCCATTGATTCAAGAGCCCAGTTAGCAGGCAAGATCTGTGCAAGCAGGCTTGTGTTAATATAAGCAAAACTTTCTAGGAAGATAAGGATCTATCTTTACTTCTTTGAAAACCTTTTCTGCCAGATGCTGGTGGCACATGCCTTTAACACCAACACTCGGGAGGCAGAAGCAGAGCCAGGTGGATCTCTGTGAGTTCAAGGGTAGCCTGGTCTGCAGAGTGAGTTCCAGGACAGCCAAAGCTATACAGAGAAACCCTGTTGAGAGAGAGAGGGAGGGAGGGGGGAGAGAGAGAGGGGCGGGGAGAGGGGAGAGAGGGGAGAGAGAGAGAGAGAGAGAGAGAGAGAGAGAGAGAGAGAGAGAGAGAGAGAGAGAGAGAGAGAGAGAGAGAGAGAGAGAGAGAGAAGAAAACCTTTTCATTTTTAAAAATTAGCTGGGCATGGTGGCTCATACCTTTAATCCCAGCACTTGGGAGGCAGAGGCTGGTGGATCTCTGTGAGTTTGAGGCCAGTCTGGTCCAGGGCTGTTACACAGAGAAACACGGTCTCAAAAGATAAGCCGGGCGTTGGTGGTGCACGCCTTTAACCCCAGCACTTGGGAGGCAGAGGCAGGCGGATCTCTGTGAGTTCGAGACCAGCCTGGTCTACAGAGCGAGTTCCAGGACAGCCTCCAAAGCCACAGAGAAACCCTGTCTCGAAAAAACCAAAAAAAAAAAAAAAAGATAAATACATAAATAAATATTAAAAACACTTTTTAGTTCTGTGAGAATTTCAGACAGTATTTTTATCAAGAATCTTTATTTCTTTAGGAACACAATTCAATAGAAAGCCACTGGATCAATTAATGAATAAATTATTGCAGTTTTACCACTGAATAAAATGTGGTAAGAAGCCGGGGGTTGGTGGTGCACGCCTTTAATCCCAGCACTCGGGAGGCAGAGGCAGGCGGATCTCTGTGAGTTCGAGGTCAGCCTGGTCTACAGAGTGAGAACAGCCTCCAAAGCCACAGAGAAACCTTGTCTCAAAAAACTAAAAAAAAAAAAAAATGTGGTAAGAAGCCAGGTGTGGTGGCACAGGCAGGAGCAGCAGGATCAGGTAACACAGTTCAAGACCAGCCTGGGTCACAGCATGAATGAGCCAAAAAATAAACTCACAAATAAATAACTGAAAGAAAAAGTTGGGGTGTTTATCCTAAGTACTTTTCAAATGTCTTCAAAATTTACGATAAAATTAAATGCTAATCTACAGCTCACAGTGATATTAAAAACGATTACTCTAGAAGCCATGTAGAAGCAGGGGAATAGTGGACACTGATTCCCCGGGGCATGCTGGGAGTAGTGTGAGGTTTTGTTTGCTGTTTTGCTTCCTTTATTTAAGACAGGTTCTAAAATGTGGCCCAGGTTGACCTTGAACATACAGTCATCACTGTGTCAGCCTCCTGAGTGCTGGGATTACAGGTATGTGCCTGAACCTGGTTTGGAAATAGTGTTAACTCCTGAGTCACTAGGACTTGCTATTAGACCAATGTATCAAGTACCTTGCAGAGGCAATCTTAATCTCTACAACCTCGTAGTGACCTGAGGATTGCAGAGCTTCTAACCCTTCCTTCTTTGCCTGACACTGTGTGTGTACACATGTGTGCTTGCCTGTGCATGATTTTGTGGAGGCTAGCGGCTAATGGTTGGGTATCTTCCTCTATCAGTATCCTTTTTTATTTCCACTGTTATTTTCTGAGATAGTGTCTCTCACACCTGGTGCTCACCAATTCAGCTGGACTGGTTGACTTGAGAACCTGGGATCGCCTGTCTCTGCCCCACAGTGCGCCTTCTGTGGGTGGCATCTCAACTCAGGTCTTCATGCTTACAAAGCAGGCACCTGGCCCACTAAGCCAGCTCTATAGCCCCAGGACATCTTTCCCTCACTCTCTCCCTTGCTGTCCGAGAACTCGATCTGTAGACCAGGCTGGCCTTGAACTCACAGAGATCCACTTGCCTCTGCCTCCTGAACATTAGTTTAGTGTTGGGATCAAAGTGTGTGCCACCACACCAAGACCCCAACTTTCATTCTTACAGGAGAAAGCTAAGTCCCTTGCAGCCTAGGGTAACGCATGCATCCAGAGTCAGCCCCCGGGGCGGGTGCTGCTGCTGCTGAAGATGCTGCTCTAATCTGAGTGCCAGCTTCCACTGGAGTACAGAGAAAATTGCTGCCTGGGATCCCAGTCTTGACACTTCCCTCCCCGGGTCGGGGTTTCCTATGAGACCTAAATGAAATACCCAAACCCCAACCCCTTAAGCACAAACCACAGCAAACCAGTACAAAGCACTTACAATCTCACTAGCTTTGATTTTAAAAGAACAGTAAAAAGAAAAAATACCTTTGCAAATATAGTCTTGACATATATTGGCAGGTCTCCGTGTGGACTTCCATAACCCCCTACAATACTAAGCCCCAATCCTGCAGAGCCTTTCTCCAAAGTAATAATCTTAGGTGCAGGTGTTCTGAAAGCACAACACATGCTGTTTAATTTGAGAGCAGACACTGAGGGCGTTCATTTTAAGGGAAGCACACAGATTTGAGAGAGACTTCCACACTGCAAAGTCATGAGTGCTGTTTTGTCAAATCCGACTCTCAGGAAGCAGTCTGGAAATGCTGCTGGACACTTTTCATGCCGCGCCAGCTCATCAGTGCTCTTGAGGTGTCGAGTTTTCGCTCGCAGCGTCCACCGCTGCCTAATTAAAACATTCACTGCAATGGCAACACACCTTACCCTATGCACGGCGCCTTCCTCCTCCTTCTTATGTGGGCTGGATTGGCCTTCGACAGCTCAACCTCTTGCTTTTGCCTCCTAAGCTCCGAGATTTTTTACTTCAGCTATTATACCCACCTCTATGCTTAGTTCTTAATTCATTTGCTTTGTTTTATTCAGATGGGATCTTGTTGTGTAGCCTGAGCTGGCCTCTTTTCTGTGTGTGCGTGTGTGTTGTGTGTGTGTGAGTGTGTGTGTGTGTGTGTGTGTGTGTGTGTGTGTGTGTGTGTGGTGTGGGACCGGGGATAGTACCAACAGCCTTGCACCTGCTAGGCTCCTAGGAGCTGTAGCACTGAGCTACACAACTAGCCCGTTTTTATTTTATTTTATTTTTGAGACAAGGTATTGTTAAGTTATGGAGGGTCACCACGTAGCTCAGGCTGGCCTTGAGATTATAATGCTCTTGCCTAAGCCCCCTAAGAAGCTAGAATTCTAAGCATGTACAACAAGGTTGGGCCCAATTTTCTTTTTTCAAGACAGGGTCTCTCTGTGTAGCTCTGGCTGTCCTGGAACTCATTCTGTAGACCAGGCTGTCCTTGAACTCACAGAGCTGCCTGCCTCTGTCTACTGAGTGCTGGGATTAAAAGTGTGTGCTTGCCACCCGGCTAGCTCAGTCGGTAGAGCAAGAGACTCTTAAAGGCATGTGCTACCACTGCCTGGCTGCTTGGCCTAATTTTTAATGTGTTTGTTACATGTAATATATGTACTTAATGTGCTTGTGTACATGTCAAAGTCAGAGGACAACTTTTAGTGCTTACTCTGTCTTCTAGCACATGGGTTCCAGGGGTGAACTGAGGTCGCCAGTCTTGGCAGCCAGTGCCTTTACCCACTGAGCCTTCTCGCCAAACCCCCGTCCCCATTTTGAAGCGTGCTTTGAACTGTAGCTCAGGTTGACCTGGAACTCACTCTGTAGCCTAGACTAGCTTTGAACTCACGGCAATCAGGATTTCTTCCTCGGCCTCCTGAGAGCTGGGATCACAGGATCACAGATAAGCTTTTAACCTTATCTTAGTCAAAAATCGAGAACTATCCTGTGGTTTAAAATCTGGCCTATTTTGTTCAAAGACAGATGTGAGGACTGCATAGTCGGCAACACAGAGGTCGTGCCAGCATGATGGAAGCCTGCCGTCCCCAGATGAACCCCGAGCCAGTAGTGGCAGGCTAACGCTTGGCAACACGTGTCCCCAGCTCTCCTCCCAGGGTGGGAAGACCCTCCTCCAAGGCCACCTGGAGTAGGGTGTTCTCCACCCTTCGGGAGGGTGGGCCCAGTCTTTCTGCCCTTGGTCTCCCTCCCTCCACCCTACTGTAACTGCACATCTCTACCTGTTCCTCCTGTCCTAGCTACCCATGTGCTCCCAGCAAACTCAGGGTCACTGCTGTAGAAACAGGAACTACAACCCAAGAGGGGAGAAGTGTGTCACCAGTGTGAAGCAGGACGGGTAAAGACAACCCGCTCCGAATACGTGACTGAGATTTTCGTCAGTGTGGAAGTCTTCTCTCTCAGACAGCATTACTGAAATTCAAATCACACACATGTGCTCAAGCCATCTAACCTCAGCTTACCTGAGGCCAGTTTATTATTCCTAAATACTAGTTTTCTTTTGACATAGGGTCTTATGTAGCCAGTGTTGGCCTTGAACTGGCAGTGTAGCCAAGGGTGACCTTGAATTTCTGGCCCTTATGTTTCCAACTCCCAACGGCTGGGATTAGAGGCTTGGAACACCAGGCTTGTTTTTTTGTGGTCTGGAAACCAAACCAAAGGCTTCATGCATAGCAGGCAAGTGCTGTACCAACTGAGCGACACCTCAGCCCTTCTCCCCATACTATACTATCCAAAGGGTAAAAACCCAAAGAAGTCTGGGGTCCCCATCCCTACCATCTGATTTGTGGTGGGAGGGCCCCATTCTTCCTCTTCCTTTTGAGACAAAGCTGTGCCGTACAGTCTGGCAGGCCTTGAACTCACAGTGATCCTCTTGCGGCTGCTCCTCAAGTGCAGGGATCACAGGTGTCTAGCACCATGTCTGCCTGGCTCGAGGAGGCACACACTCTGTACTGGCAGCATACCTTGCCTTGTGGCAGCATGCATGTCTGAGAGACAGTCACCTGTTATGAACACAGCCACTCACATGTCAGAAAACTTCGATTATGCTGCTCTGATTAAACTTAGCCTAACTAGTTTTGGGTTGGTTTCCATCTGGTTGACACTAATAGTCCTTGCTTGTTGATGTGATTTGATTTTTTTTAATAGTAGTTGTCTACTGCTATAGCCTGAGGTGTACAAATTGTGGATGGCTTTGAATGCTACCCTGCTTAGCCTGATTCTTTCAAAACTCACCATCAGCTTCTCCAATTACTGGCCCCCAACCCCCCAACAAACACACCCCAAGTCAGGCCCCTCGGCAATGGCTTCAAGAGCCCTGAGCTCCCTGAACTTAATTTCCCTTACTAGCCCTTCCACAGCCATGAATTTACAGGTCTACTTTTCCTTTAAGCCTAGGTAGGGTCACATCTTTACAAACATTCCCGTGTTTAGACCCTCAGGACTCAGTGCAGTGCCTGACCTTAGAGAGGTACTCAGTACACATCTGTTGAAATAATGAAGTGTCCCTACAAGGAACAGTGATGACATCACAGTGCCTTTCTCTCTCTGCAGCCTCCTGAGTTTGCTGAGCAATGACCCAGTTCAGGATCTAGCCTGATTTTGGCTGCTTTTGCAGACATGGCCCCTATTGCCAAAGAGAAATGAGGTGCTCAAGGTTAGCATGTTAGAACTGGCCTCAGGACCACCAAGTCCTTAGGGACCTGCATTCCTGGGCCCACTGGCAATCTGGAGCATGTGTTAGCATGTCCATTTATCTCATAATACCTTAATATTTCTTCTCTGGAAATAATCTCTAGTGTTTGTGTGTGTGTGTGTGTGTGTGTGTGTGTGTGTGTGTGTGTGTGTGTGTGAATCTAAATACCTGTGGAGTCTCGAAGAGGGTGCTGCATCTTTTGGAACTGGAGTTATAGGTGTCTACAAACTGCTGACATGGGTGCTGGGAACTGAACTCAGGTCCTCTTGAAGAACAGTATGTGCTCTTAACCTCTGGGGTACCTTCTCAAGCCATGCCTTAACATTTCTTTCTTTCTTTTCTTTCTCTCCCTCCTCCCTCTCTCTTTGTCTCTGACTCTCTCTTTTTTGAGACAGGGTTTCTCACAATAGCCCTGGCTGTCCTGGAATTCACTAAGTAAACCAGGCTGGCCTTGAACTCACAGAGATCTGTCTTCCTCTGCTTCCCTAGTGCTGGGATTAAAGGTGTGAGCTACCATCTCCCAGCTCTCTTTCTTTCTTAATGCCAGGGTTTCTCTATTATGTAACTCTGGCTGTCCAGGAACTCATTATGTAGACCAGGCTGGCCTTGAGCTCGCAGAGTGCTTCCTCTGCTTCCCCATTGCTGGGATTAAAGGTGTAGCCACTGTGCCTGGCAGAAACCAGTTTTTAAAGACACTCAGGTATTAGCTGTGGATTTGTTTGTGCTGACAGCCCCTGCCAGAGCTGTGTGTTAGAGAAAAGGACCACATGACAGGGGCAGCCCTACCCTTCTATAAAGACATCATTTTCACATGCATCTCAGGGTGCCCTTTGCCTTGCAAAGCCCTTGCATCAGCTCCAAGTGCTGGAACTACGTGTATGAGCCAACAGAGCCAGCTGGTTTTTCTTTCCTTTTTTTCTTTTGAGAGACAGGATGTCATGTACCCCAGGCTTACCTTAAGCTTGCTATATAAACAAAATGGGTTTGGAGTTTTGGTCCTTCTGTCCTAACCTCTTGAGTACTGGGATTATAAGTGTGTTGTCATGTTCAGTTCAATGTGGTACGGAGGATGAACCAGGGCATTGTAATGCTAGGAAAGTACTCTACCAGCTAAGCTCCAGCACTAACCTCTCCAACTCGACTTTGTTTTAAAGAGTACCTTGAAAATGCTCATTTTCCTATTTGGTCATATTTGATGGCATGTATCATGAGGAAAAAAGTAGAACCGCCTTAATATTCTTTCTTTACTAGACACACCCAAAAGTATCATTTAGCCCCTTGTGGATGGCTGTGATCATGAGCTCCTTAAGTGAACAGTCCACCAACAGCATTTACTGAGTACACACGTGACCAGGTGCTGACAGTGCAGTGACGGCAGCTTCAGGCAGAGTGCTCCAAGTGCAGCTGTTCTCTGCCTGTCTGGTCCAATGACCCTAGGGAACCTGCTGAGACCAGATGCCCAGATCTACAGGGGACCTTCTCCTCGGAGTCTCCACGAACAGGGTCTTGGAGTGTGTGTGCAGGCACATACACAGGCGAGTGTGAGATTTGCTTTTCTCCTTCTACTATGTGGGACCCAGGGATTGAACTCGGGTCATTAGACTTAGTGGCAAGTGCCTTTACATGCTGAGCCATCATGCTGGCCTCCTGCTCTTACTCGTACATCATTTTAGTTCTGGAAACATTGCTTTTTTTTTTTTTTTTTTTTGGTTTTTACGAGACAGGGTTTCTCTGTATTGTTTTGGAGGCTGTCGGTCCAGCCTGGCCTCGAACTCACAGAGATCCGCCTGCCTCTGCCTCCCGAGTGCTGGGATTAAAGGCGTGCGCCATCACCGCCCGGCTTTGAAACATTGCTTTAATGAACAACTTTGCAATGACTAGCTGTAATGACACATGCTAGCAAAGGGGACAGCAAGACTTCACCTTAGCTGAGTGAGTTAAAGAAATGTGACTCCTTGAATCTTAGAGCAGGGAGGACCTGGGCTGTAAGCCTGCAGTTTCTTAGGACAGAATTCATAGGCTTGTGTCAAGCCAATGAGAAGCAGTGTGAATACAGGCCCTACCATGGTCTCCAAAGGATCCTAGGGTGGAACACAGCCTTGTGTGAAACAGAGCAGTCTTGGCACCTTGTCAGAGCTCATCTAGGTCAGGAGAACATAGCATGCACATTCCTCTGCTCTGAGATCACAGGTTAGAACCTGACACTCAGGGGCTAGGCCACTCTACATAAGACTACTCACTCCATGTCTTCTGGATGGTGGTCAGCAGTTGGAGAGCCAAGCTGGGAGCCTGCAGACATGATTTCAAGCTGAGTCGCTATGGCACTTATATTGGTGTCTGCCACAACCTGGGGATGACAAGGTATTTTACTATAAGTTGCAAAAATGCTGGAGAAACCATGGTTGCATTATAACCCTCATTCAACTTGCATGTAGCATTGGACAGAATGGATTGTTCATTTTCTCTTTCCTCTCACTCTCGTCTTTCTCCCTTTCTTCTCCCCCATTTCCCAATGCAGCCTCCCCAGTGCTGGGATTTCCGTGTGGCCCTCCATGCTGGGCTGGAGGCTTTGACTCTCCTGTAAGCTATTTCTTTCATTTGACCCTCCCCACCCCCTTCCTTATTCTTTTGTGAACTGGGGACTGAAGCCAGAGGCTCCTACCTACACTATCGCTCACCTTGTCCCCAGTCCCTCCTTTTAAAGACTTCAACAGGGCCGGCAGGGTCTCCCTAAGCTGCACAGTCTGTCTGTGGGCCAGCCCCTCCTGGGCCTCCCAGCAGCTGCTGGACCACAGGCTGGTGCCACCTGGCCCGGCTCCAGTTACTACTCTTCCACCTTTCCGACCTTGCCATCCTCTCTTCCAGACCCTGTCTTTTTGATCTGCAGTGTCTCATGCAGAGTTTAAATACCGTCTGGGGATGATAATCCCCAACTCTATCTCCGGCTCTACCGTACTTAAGCCCGAATCCATGTGATGCGTCCCCACTGAGCTCCCCAGTGGTGTCCATCAGGAACCCAGAGCCAACATGCCTCCAGCCTGTGCTTCTGCAGCCTTCCACATCCCAGATGACCGCGGCCTGTTCTCAAAGCCCACAGACCTCTTAGATGCTGCAGGCTGCACCATAAAGTAAGTTATCTTGTGTGCAGTTTGAGCGGAGCTGTCTCACTAGCTGCCCGACCTCACTTTTCTGCAGCAGCCAGAACCACGCTAACATGGAGCCGATGACTCCAGACTCTGTCTGAAGCCATCTGCAGAGAACCAGACGCCCTGGGACTACAAGTTGAAGTCCTTCCTAAAACCTTCAAGGTGTCCTACCCTGTGGCAGCTCTCCTAACATTCCGCGTTTAGCATGGTGACCTCATTGTCCCTCTGTCCCCCCCCCCAGAATAGAACCCTGGATCTGGAGAGCTGACTGCAATACTGCACAGACCCTGTTAGAAGTCTGCCAGCAAGAGTGGAAGGGAGCTTGATTGGATGCAGTTTCAGAACAGACCAACAGAGGGCACACGTGCCTCAGTTGTGACAGTAGCACTGCCAGTTCGAAAAGCAGCAACAGGTAAAAGGAGCGGTCAGAATGCATTTGGGAATCATCCCAGATGAGGGAAAAAAGTTACAAGGAGATGCAGAGTGTTCTAGAAATACATTCGTGGGAAGAATGGTGACTAAATGGGGAGATGTTTAAGATAAAAACCCAAGAAGAAAGGCCAGCTCCCTGCCAGACCATGCAAGCCTGTCTTCCAGTAGCATGCTGAACTGTCATCAGTAGCATGCCCAGAGCCCCAAGGGCACTGCCTGCTCCTAAGGCACACTGTCTTTACAAACACTCTATTCCAGCTTCCACCCATCACCCCGGCCTGAGCCTGCCTGACCCGCATTCTCCTGGCTTCCCAGCTGTTGCTAGGGTCTGCTCTTTGCTATCTGACCTCCTGACTCAATCACAGGCCCGGGTGGCTTCAGGCTCAAAAGACAGCACATACATTCCCCTGGCTTTAAATTCCAACAGTGTGCTTACAATTCAGCTGTGTGCGCTGGCCAATCACCAGCTTGAGATTTTCATTTCCCATCCCTCAGCTCATCAAAGTTAGGACAACTCCAAATTTGGATCGGGGCTGTAGCTCAGAGTGCATACATACCTAGTGTGTGTGTGTGGGGGGGCTGGGCTCCACTCTTAGAGCACGTGCAAACACCATGCAGTCCTGCCCTACTTCCCCTCCAAACTCTTGACCCCCAAACCCACCCCGTTCACTTAACTTTTCCTTTCATTTTTCTCTTCTTAGGAGGTGACACCTCCAGCTCCCTGTTATGAACCAACAAGGCACTCTACTGAAAACTTGCTGTGGCTGGTGCTGTCAATCTGCGGCGTGCGCTGAGGCGCTATCCACACAGGTGCTCGATCTGAGCGGCTACCTTGGTACCTCCTGCTATGGAACACCAACGCTTCTGCAATCTCTTCACTTGTCGTCCTTTTCTCTCTCTTACCCCGCCCCCAGGCATCTCCCCAGATATGCAAAGGTACTCTATTGCTCCAAACCTTTCAGCACGGTCCTTTTGTGCTTGGGACAGGAATGCAAGCAAGTGAACACCCCCCCCCCACACACACACAGTTCTAAGTCCATTTCTCCTTTCCCACACCTCTCAATCTTCTAGAGTCTCCTCCCTGGGGTTATCTACACAATCCAGCTTAGACAGCAGTCCTGTTCTCCAGTCCCTGTTTCGGTTAATTCTTCCTGCTTTCTTCTGGGTTTCTAAGCTGTTTGTCAGGAATTGTGGCAGTGAGTGTTTGCGTGTCTGTGGGTTGTTCCTATCTTATCTCATGTTCCATGAGCAGCAGACTGATGCCCCACAAAGTAGCTGCTCCCTCTGGAGAACCTGGTCCCATGGAGACGGGCTTTTGGTCCGTTATAGCAATTAGGCAGGCCTGGCTCCACAGAAATTCAGTAATGATAGGGGGCTTAAAGGAGCCCCAGGTACTAACCCAGCTGGAGTTCTGCCTTTTTTGGGGGGGGGGACAAAGTTTCTCTGCATAACAGCTCTAACTATCCTGGCACTCACTCTGTAGACGAGGCTGGCCTTGAACTCACAGAGATCTGCCTGCCTCTGCCTCCTGAGTGCTGGGATTAAAGGCGTGAGCCGCCAACGCCCTAGGATTTTGCTTTCTATTTTAATGACATTTTAAAAAATTTTAAGTGCATTGGTGTTTTGCCTGCATGTGTGTCTGGTGAGGTCGCTGGATCCCCTGGAACTGGAGTCACAGACAGTTGTGAGCTGCCATGTGGGTGCTGGGAACTGAACCCTGGTCCTCTCCGAGAGTAGCCAGTGCCTTTACTAACTGCTGAGCCTCTCTTTAGCGCCCAGTTTTTCTCTTTACATTTGTTTACTCTGTGTGTGTTGTGGGTAGGAGGAACCTGCACATGCCATCGTGCGTGTGTGGAGGTTGGAGGACATCCTGTGGGGCCAGCTCTCTCCTTTCCCCGTGTGGATCCCCACATGTGAACTCGGGAGCTCAGGCTTGGCAGCAAGTGCCTTTCCCTGCTCAGCCATCTTCTCGCCAGCCCTCAGTTAGGTCTGTGACTCCATCTTGTTTCTTTTCCTGTCTTGAGTCTTTTTTCCACTTAAAGCGAATCTGGCCCTGAGGAACAACAGACTTGAATGGTCGGCACCGGCAGAGCAAGCTCTGCATGGCCAATCCTGAGAAAGTGGCCCAAGACAACATCAACCAGAGGACAGCCAGACCAAGACGGCCTCGAATCCTACCTCAGGAACGCTAAGGCTTCCCTTTGTTCCTCTACTGTGTACCCAGGACTGCCGCAGGCAGCTGAGGTTAGGTTCTTCGCGTACTGCTGTTGCTCCTGTGGTCACCGTTTATTTAATAAAGTTCATTTCCCAGACTTGCCATGCTCTTGTCCTGTGGGTTTCTGTTTTGGGCGGGGAGAGGAGTCTCCTGTGTAGTCTAGGCTTGCCTGGAACTCAAGATCCTCCTGCCTCAGCCTCCTAACTTCTGTTCCTAACTCTTTTAGAACTGAACGCTTATGGAGCAGAACAACATAGTCAAAAACACTGGGATCTCATGAGAATCAGCATTTAGTGGTCACTCCAGATGTGTGGATGTGACTGTCATGTTCCTATTGGGCAGAGCCAGAAAGCCACGAGAACATCGCCTGTTTATGCCTTGTTTTCTTTCTTTCTTTTCCTTTTTGTTTTGGTTGTTTTGTTTTTTTGAGACAGGGTTTCTTTGTAGCTTTGGAGCCTGTCCTGGAACTTCCTCTGTAAACCAGGCTGGCCTTGAACTCACAGACATCCGCCTGCCTCTGCCTCCCGAGTGCTGGGATCAAAGGCGTGCACCACCACAGACCAGCAAATCTAGTAGTCTTTAATCAGATGTTGGGAAGCAATCACCCAGCCTGAGGGAAAAGAGTTACAGAATTGACTTTTCAGACATAGCTGTGTCCCCAGTTATACTCATCATGAAGTTACCATCCAACTAGAAAATAAAAAAGCCTGCAGTTTCCTCCTCACAACTAGCTCGAAAATTAAAAGGCTTCTTAGCCACCAGTAAATCCTAGGGGATCACCCAGAACCCTCATGTCAATCTTATAGGAGTGGTACCCTCAGACCAAGTGGTAAATCTGAAGGACAGTATGCTTCTTTGGTGGGGAGACCAGGATCGCAAACCTGCCACCTGCAGGAAGACTTTCCAGGCTTGACATTTGTAGCCAGCACATTTGCCTTGAGAGCTGACTGACAAGTAACTGGATAGGCAGGGGCTAAACCTTCCCTGGGGCCTCGCCTGGGAATGGGGAGGAGCTACTCTCCAAGGGTTAGGTCAGTGGTGTACAAGTTCAACACTGAGGTGTGAGCTAGGTGTCCTGCTCAGCCTTGCCTCTGAACACCAGGGACTGGGGACTGTGGTCTGAGGTAAGCCTGGGGTCCTTTGGGGAAGCAGGGGAAGGCCAACAGGCTGACAGGAAACATACTCTATTTTCCTTTATCAAGTGAATCTTGGACTGGTTTTCGGCTTCACTGGGTTCTGAGAACAGAGATGGGACTCGGGGAGACAAGGGAGAGAACTCCCTCAGGGAGGCATGCAGTAGGCGTCCTGTGAGGGGCAACGAGACACAGCGATGGTCAGAGTGGGGAGGGCATGACACAGGGCTTAGAGGTCCTCAACGAAACCTTGGGTACCATGGTCTCTGCAACTCCAGGTGTTCTGGCCTCTGGTTCCCTAGCCTATAACTGGCTAGGCAGAAACAATGGACTCCAACAAAATGGAAATTTCCCCAGGAATCTTATGCTGGGAGAAGCAAAAGGTGCCAGCCTGAGAGAGAAAACTGTCTTCAGGAAAGAG